GTTTTGTTCTTTACTGTTTTGTTCAATTGTATTATAACTAATGGTATAGGCAATTCTATTAGAGATAGCGGGAGGCATTATGGTAACCATTGTTGATCACCTTGTATTATGTTTTCACATTATCTACTATGTCCACCCTTTTGACTTGACCGATTCTGTTCTGTTATGTCACATTTGGTTTTACTCTCTTCCAAAAAAATAATAAGAACCGTGAGAGCAATGAAACCCAAAATGTGTAATAGTCATTGTACAAAAGAGAGGAAAAGAAAGTGCTCTAAACTATATAACTGCATGTATATTTAAGTGTCTAAGATAGAATATGATATCACAGAGTTTTATTGGATCATTGAACAGAACTGTTTGCAGTATCATTGATGGAATGTCCACTTTACAAGCTTTAATTTTGTGACTTGAACAATTATTTCTAAGATGACAGTATGTAATCCATTAACTAGTGATTTCCTACTGTTCATTTTTTTTCTGCAAATCTGTATAACTTGTACCCTTTCTCTGCTTTTTTTTCTTTTCTCCTTAAATAAAATTTAAAAAAAAAAATCAATGAATGTTTCCAACAAGTGCTATTGGAATAAGAAAGCACCTACATTCACAAGAAAATGAACCTGGACATAGATGTTATACCTTTCACAAAATAAACTCAAAATAGATCATAAAAAAAAGTACAAAACCACAAAAAAAACTGTTTGAAGATAATTTAGGGGTAAATATAGATGACCTTGAATTTATCACTGAGCCCCAAAATATAAATAAATTAAAGAACAAAAGATGTATACTAGGAAACAGAGAGGCAGATCCGTTATAAAAGGGAAGGAAACCAAGAGATGGAGGAGGTGAGAGTCTTGGGAGAGAAAGGGAAGAGAAAAGAAATAAGGTGTGTTGTATACATGTACCAACTCCTCGTGAGGAATGTAATCACTACGGAATACAGACATGTACTAGTAATAAGAAAGCCAGGTATGGTGACTCACACCTGCAATCTCAGCACTCTGGAAAGCTGAGGCAGGAGGCTCACAAGTTTGAGGTCATGCTGGGCAAAACTTAGTGACTCGGTAAAATCCTGTCTCAAAAGATAGGGATAAAATATAGTGTGAAAACCCTGAATTTGATCCCCACTATTGAAAAACTTTAAAAATAAATAAAAATTTCTTCAAAAAACACTGTTAAGACAACATAAAGCCAAGCCAGACTAAAAGAAAATATTTGCAAAACACCTATTTGATAATGGAATGATTTCCAAAATGCACAAAGAATTCTTAAAATTCACACAAAAGAAAGTAACCCAATTTAGAAATGAGCAAAAACACAAAAGCTACACTTCACCAAAGAAGATAATCAAACGGCAAATAAACACATGAAAAGATGTGTGAACACCACATGTCATTAGAGAACCGATGTGAGAACAGCAGTGAGAAAACTCTGCACCCCAAAAATAGCTAAAATCAAAAACGATAACCCCAAAAACTAGTGGGAGAGGAGAGCTACAAAACTCTCTTTCATTGCCAATGGGAATGCAAAATGGTACTGTCATTTGGTAGGCAGTGTGGTTTCTTACAAAACTAAGCATCAATTTACCAGTGATCCAGCAATCATGCCCTGTGGTACTGACCCAAATAAGTCTAAAACTGACGTCCACATGAACACTGCATGCGAAAGTTCTTTCCACATAATTTTTCTGTCACTCTAAAACTGCCCCATTGAATTATAAAATCTAATAAGTAAGTACTATTTTAAAATAATACATAAAATTAATTTTGGAGCCACTAGTTTTATAGATGTTTCATATTTCAATAGCAAATTTGTACCAAACATGCATACTCAAAAATTGTACATCTAGGATTTTATTCTACAATTCTGTGCACATTTTGGTCAAATGTTTATGCTGAAAGATCATGTAGTGTTATCAGGAATAACAAGAAACCTGGAAACAACTAAAATATACACTCAGGAATGGTTAAATATGTTTCTTTTACATAAGTAACACTATAGAGCGGTGACAAAGAAGTAGCTAAGGGTCCACAGTGCTCTACAAAGGAAGTGCTTCTCTTTAACTTCAAATACAGCTGACATAACTAGACTTGTGCCTACCACATGGTGGATCTTCAATGTATATAATTTGAATATGTGAATAAAGAGTGATTGTCAGCACTCTTAAAGTATAAAACAATGTGTGTATGGTTTGCCTCTGTTTACTTAAAAAATATAAATATGTGTGAACAAATATGTGTTTCATAAGAAGGACTCTCAAGAATCTAGTGGTCATGATGAACAAATTGAGAATGGAAGTTAGCAAAAGGAGTAAAACTTCACAGCATTGTTCCTGTTTATAAATAAAATGAAATTCTCCAAGAGAAGCAAGAAAATGTCAATTAAAAAAGCAACAAGGAACTAAAGAATGCCCCAATAGAAAGATGGACAATATCTAAACAGTCATTTTGCAAAAGAAAAAGGAAAAATTATTATTGTTCAAACTAATATAAAGCAAATATCAATCAAAAGAATCCTTTTTTACCTGTCAAATTCATACATGAAAAAAAACCTCAAAGGCAAAAGTGTTCTGAGTAGAAAGAAATGGACACACTCATGTACAGTTGATGGAAGCATAAATACACATATCCTTCCTAATGGCCATTTCAGTCCTCAATCCTTTTTTTTTTTTTTTTTTGAGATGGCATCTTGCTATGCAGTTCAGGCTGGCCTTGTGCTCACTTTGTAGCCCAGGCTGGTCTCGAACTCGCAACGATTCTCCTACCTCAGCCTCTCGACTGCTGGGATTACAGGCATGAGCTACCACGGCTGGCTTAGTCTTTAATCATTTTTAACAAATGAACTTTAATTTAAATTTAAGTTAAATACTTCATTTACCTTCAACCAACCTATTCAACTGCAGAAATCAAACAAATTTGAAGAGATCTCCATACAAAGGTATTCTAAGCAATGTACATTACATATACATGGGGGGAAATCTGCTCACAAGAGTAGGAAAGTAAATTTTGTATTCATATTCCTGGTGGTGGTTAAGCCATAAGTTGACCAGGTTAAGAAACAGTAAAATGCACTTCTGGATAGTGCTGTGGGCACATGGCCTTGGGAGCTACAGCATACCTGGTCCTGGGCCTCTTGCTCTCGATTACTGTTCTGCTGCTTTGCTTCTGCCCTCCACGAAGTGAGCTACTTTGCTCCACCACATCCTGCCACCATGACACTTCTGCTTTGGAGCCAACTGTTATGGCTTGTGTCTGTGTCCCCCCAAACTCTCATGCATGGGTGGGGCTTTTCAGAGGTGGCTACATCTCGAGTGTGTGATGCTGGCATTAATAGTATGTGATTACTAACCCACAGATTGGTTTGACATAATTGGGGTGTGGATAATAGGAAGGCTCACCCTAGGTGTAGGTGCTATCTACAGTAAGGGTGTGTGTCCCAGGTGGACTTTAAGGGACAGAAAGAGGGCTGCTGCTATCACTTACTGTTGCTAGTGCCTGCTGCACCCTGCTTGCCGCTTTGCTGCCTCCTGCCTGCCCTGCCACACCATGGCCCGTTTCTCCCCTGCCACCCTTGCCTTAGAAACGGTCAGCTATGGACTGAAATCTCTGCAAACTGTGAGCCAATAAACCTTTCCTCCTTTAACTCTGGATGCCATATATTCTGTCTTAGCAACAAGAAAAGTGACTAAGATACTAACCAAACGTGGAATTGAACTTTAAAACTGTAAACCAAAATAAATATCTCCTCCTTTAAGTGGTACATGTCAGGCATTTTGGCCATAACAATGAAAAGCTGACCAATACATCAGTAAAATATCATACAGATATTTTAGTGTATATCCTTATAGTTCTAGATTTTGAAAGCTATCTGCTGTCAATGATGATAGCAATAAAGAGGATACTTCCTACTCAGTATGATAGATGGGTACATGAGGGCATCTCTCTCGATCAAGTACCATCCCAAATGTGGACTCAAGCTTACAGGAATAAAGGAAACATGACATCAGGTTTTCTCATTGAATTTAGCCATTTTCAACTGAAATTACCCAAGCCTCTTCATGTGTACAGGCTCTGCCTTTGAGAAGTTTATTATGAAAGTTCAGATTTGTAATATGTTACAAATATACATATTTGTAATATGTAATATGTTATATCAAGAAGTTAATACAAAACCACAGTCAAGGCAGTAAAGAAATGGCATAAAGAGGCTTTTCTATTGAATAGAAAAGCAAACCCAGAACAGACTCACCCTTATACAGTTATTTGATATTGACAATCCCATCAAAGTAATCCAGGAGTAACGTCTTTTCAACAAATGAGGAAAAGAAGTAAAAAAAAGAGATAACTGAAAAAAGAGATATGAAAAAGAAATTCTCCATCTCACACCATAAGCAAAAATTATTTCAAGATGAAACACATCTAGTAATATTAAAATCATACTTCTAGCTTAGAAGGAAGCACAGAGTAGACATAGTACAGAATAGAGTGTAGGCAAAAGTCTTGTAGGACACAGAATATCATAAACATAAAGGGGAAAAGTGGGTAAATTAAACTTCAAAATTTAAAATACATCTCATAAAAGCATAGCTAAGATAATGAATAGGATATCCACAAACTGAGTAAAAAAAATATTTGCAAAACATATATGTTTAAGAACTACGTCTAGTAGATATCAAGAGTTCTTATACTTAATGAAAGACAAGCAACTCAACACAGAGAACTTATAAATAAATAAGGTCCAATTTATGTTTCGAATAGAAAAACAATATTACTTTTTTTAAAAAAAGTAATCCACTACCACTGAAACCCCCACATTTTACACCAATTTTGAACATGATGAATACTTATTTAATTTTTAAATAGATAAGATTAAATGACATAAACTTTAAAAAGATATCTGATATAAAAGTTAAATTTTCTTTGTATTAACCTCACTAATTCTTGACAAAGTATAGGTAATAATAATTCACTCCCACAAAAAGAAATCACATGAAAAAATGAGTTGCATATAATAATTTATTTCACAAAAATATAAACCACTGACATATTTTGAAAAACAGCCACAGAATAATCATTTAGCAATCATAATATTATAAAAATAAAGTAACAGAACAAATTGCACGATTAAAACAAAATAGCTTCAGCTAAATCACTCTGACTAGGAACACAGTCACTAGGAAGGTTAGTGGACCAGCACTGCTGTGTATTTCATTAGTTAAGTGTCACTGCAATCAGGCACGAGATCTATTCCCAAGAGACCATTCTATTTGTTATAGAAAGATATGCAATGTACAGATGTTACATAACAGCTTGAGTTTAGTTCTCTATAATACTACTACCCCTTTACTCTGGGAAACAAGTGACAAATTAAACAATGAAGAGCATGGGATGTAAGCACATGACTGGCCCGCCTCTCTCCTATTAGTTCTAACACACACACATACGCATACACACAAAGAAAGACGTGGACTGCACTGTCCATTACAATAGCCACTAGCCTCATGTAGCTATTTAAAATGAAAATAATTAAAATTCAATAAAATCTGCATTTTACTTTCTCAGTCACACTAGCCACATTTTAAGTGTTTACTACTGGTTACCATATTGGACACTGCAGATATAGAACATTTCTATCATCACAGAAAGTTCTTTTGGACAGCCCTGGATGTGGGAAGTGTTTCTTCTCCTTTTGCTTAGCCAGGGTGTAGGCTGCTTGTGGAAGCAGCTTTGAGAGGCAATTCTTCTCCCAGGATATTCCTAGATTGGTGTGGAGTCACAGAAGGAAGTAAGGTCCTCTTTCTTTGCATATGCAAGCGATGGTCATTTACAGGGATCAAATACACACTCTAGATTCCACCCAAATCTAAATGTCAGGAAAACTGAGAAGATAAATGATACATATGAGGAAGCAGCAAAGTAGAACGTTGTTTATTCTATATTTGACCTCTGTAAGGAGATCACGTCCACCAAGAAAATGTACAGATCTTCATGGTCTTGCTGTAGCGAATCCTGAAGCAGGGCAGAGAGATCAGAGCTGACAAGTGTTTCATGAGAAAACCTGGCATGTCTTCACTCTGCTCATGCAGAGCTGAGCAGTGTTGCTTGGAGTTTTGCCAGTGAGGAAGCCACTGTCTTGATCTGTTTCAAATATTGTGCTTCTGTGAGAGTATATTTTATATCCAGGGCATAGACCACTAGTTAGTTGTCCCCTGAAGACTCACTAATATCCTTATTACCAAGAAAACCCAGATTTTCATTGAAAGCTCAAAAACTACATTTCTCAAGCAGTCTTGCATCCATTAACACAGTTTCTGCCCATGAAATACAAGCAAAAGTTAAGCTGCTGAGAAACTCTTTAAAAGGAAATGCATCCAAACTGCAAGGATGTGCTTTCCCTTGAGTGCCTTCCTTCTTTTTGTGGGAGCTACAGAAACCATCTTGGAACCTAGAGGGAAAAGCCAACACAAATTCTGGCAGTTTTCTGTCTCCATTTCACATCAAATGAGAGTTATCTAAGAAAAGAACAAATCTTTAATTTGGTGAAGCCAAAAACTTCCTACTGCATTTGCAAGATAATAATTCATCTTCCTTCCCCACAGGAAAGTAAAACTAAAAGTTAAAAAACAAACCTTGCCCAAAGAACATTTCCCAATTCAAACATTCAAGTAACTTCAGATAATTATACTGATAAAACAAAAGTTGAGTATGAAGATGTTTAACTCAAATCCATGCATGTCTTAAGCATCTGTCTGTAAAGACCAAGAATAGCAGAAGCAGTCAGGTTCATTAAACAAAGTAGCTGCTATTCAAAAAAAAAAAAAAGTGGATGTTTAAAGCTTAATCCATCAGGAACCATTTCCAAGCTCCTATTATGTTCTGATTACTTTCCAAACACAAGTGTCTGTCTACCTCTGAATATCCAAGTTCCTGTATCCCTATATGGTAAGATACTCATTACTCAATCAGATCAGCATTGATCTATTACTTTATTTATTTTGTGTAGACAAAATAAGAATGGAGAGTCGAAGGATTTATTTCACTAATTCAAACAAAACAAGAATCTATATCAAAGATCTTTAGCTCAACTCTTAACTTACCCTGTGTGTGACACAGATATCTGACAGTGGCATCTAATGATCTTAATTGTGGATTTAGCTTAAACAAGCATGAGTACCTCAGACAAGCTACAAAAATTAAAAACAAAATACATAACTCTGCAGATACTTTCTATGTACTATATTAGTCTATCGATTACCCTACAAGTCCCTAGATTGGTAAGTATGACTTAGTAAAAATAAATATTTACAAGTATCCTAAATGGTTTAACCACTTACAATGCTTACAATTTTAATCATTTAAACTTTAACTCTAGTGTGCTTATTTTGAAATTATAGACAAAATCAAGAACATGGAATGTCATGTTAAAAATAAGATATTGCATATTCTTTACTTACCTAGTTCCAAGTTTCCACCCCTGCAAGTGAACCAAAAACAAATCCTGGCACCTTGTCATTCCCAGAAAAGCCAGTGAGTGCATGGCACGCTCTGAGTAAATTTTATCTCTCATTCTGTAGAGTCACACCAGATGGCATCAGCCCTGCATCTGCAGCTGTGCCCTAAAATTGAAGTTCAGGCATACAAATCTACTTTATTAAATACTTTAGATTTTGCAGGTGTACATGTGATGTCATTCCCATTCAACTCAAAATGGTATATTTCCAAGTAGAACTATAGGTCCATGGCACTCACAAGTTTGGCAATTAATGAAACAATCAAGATCATCCTAAGAAGATTGGAAGTCATTTTAAACAGCTGAAGTTTATAAGCAACGAAGAAACAAGAAAAATTGAAATAAAATATTAATACTGAATTACAGAATTGTGGCTCATTTCCTTTTAGTGTAAGAAATTCAATTCACCTTCTAGTGCTAAAAATGGAAATTGAAAATAAAACAGAAATACTTCATAATCAAGTCACTTATGACATGAACATTTAACTGTTCCTTACTTTGTAAATCCTGTAATGTCTAATTCACATTTACCCTAAAAGTAGACTTGACATAATGATTGTCAGAACCAAGATGTCATCAGTGGCTTGAGTCCCCAATACGTAAAAGTCTGAAACCTAGACCATTATGGATGCCAGAGCACTAAATCTAGGCCAAACATTTATCCAGGTAGCCAAAAATGTGAGTTCAAAAATAGTTTGGCTTGAGAGATCAGTCTTAGCTGGCCATGGAAGAATGAAGTTTGAAATAATGGATAAGAAAAGGTAAAGGTTTAGTTGTGAGCTTCAGATTTTGTGAACACCACATGTTGTGCAGTGTTTGTTTTTTTTTTTTTTTTAAGCAACTGAAAAAAAATCCAAGGAATGTGTGCACTGGAACTGTAGTGGTAGCTTTCAGTGTTGTAAAGAGATTTTGTTCTATACAGACCTGTTTGCTGTTAACCCTGCATGTAATAAAGTCCTTTCTAGATCCTACGTGGAAAGAAAAGTGAAGCAATGAACCTTCAGCATGTTCTCATCGGGGGAGCCTCCTTGTGGTATGTAAACTGTGCCACATAATTAGAAAATGTGAACAGAAAAGGTAATTAATTCATATGCAGGTGTCAAATGTTTCAAAAAGCACAGTCCCTAACAAAGCAATGGCAAGGCAGGAGACCAACAGTAACAAGTAACAGTAACAGATGTGAAGAACTTCCGTTGTTATTAGGGCCAAACTCCAAGCAAACAGGGATAATAGGAATAAATATTCATTTTTTGCTGAATTAACAATAACGGTAATAAATGAATCAGTTTACATGGAGGTTATGAAATGGCGTAGGAAACAGGCTGGAAAGACAAGGTAGGAACCTTTCCGAGTCAAGAGGCAGCAGAGAGGTTGGCTTGCACCAAGATAACAAAAAACTACTCACCCAGAGTTCTCTACAGCCTCCTGCTAGGCAAACTCAGGACAGGTTAAGCTGCTGGACATCAGTGAGACTGCTAAGAAGATTAAAGGATTACAAAATCAAGAAGCTAAGCAGGTAGTTAAAATTATTTGCATTCTGACTATTTATAAAGTATGAAATGATTGCTTTCTATCCTTATAAACAACCATAATTGCTAATTACTCCCACATTCATCTCCAATGTTCATATTAACTGCACAACCCAATAATTAAATGCCAGTGCAGAGTCATCAACCGATTAGAGAACTATTGTCCAAAGCACAATACGGATTCACAGTGGAGTTTCAACCGGATATTCCAATTAAGTCTGATAGAGAGATGATACAGATGTGAGAATATGCTCGTGATGTTAAGTTACAAGAAATCATTTAGTTTTTTTAAGAACACATTTATTTTGACAAAGTCAAATTTTAAAAATTGAGTAAAATCCTCCAAATGCTGAAAGCCAAAAACTTTCCCCATAATTACTCACCAAAGTGGGACTATTTTCTATTTGCTTGAATTACCAAAATAATTCCTTCCATTTCACTTTAGTTTTATCAATCTAGGCAAAACTTAGTATTTCACTGGTTTTACCCTCTGTACATGGCCTTGCTTCGTATCTAACATTACTAAACCCCAATCGGCTTTTACTGAAGACAACACTTATTTCAGTTCAAAAACCCCTGCACTGTTTTCAAAAAGAGCAGAATGATTATGAAAATTGCAAACACTCTTACATCTCTTTCTGATTTCCATAATCCCCTACCTAGACACTGATTCTTTCAGGGAATGAGAAATCAGTGTGGATTCTCGGTTCCAGCAGAAGCTTGTCAGCTGTGAGTGGGAAGCCAGCGTTTTAGTTCACAGTACCCATTTCTCCCATCCTGACCCTTCACTCCCTGAGGCCCTGGATCTTTGGAAATTTAACCATTAGAGTTAAGGTTAGTCTTGAGGCCAGGGCAACATACAAGCATACGTTGTCTCAACTTACAACACAGACAGCTTCCTCGCCATCCTTCCGGCCTTCCAGTGGGTTCCAGGCAGTATGCAGAACTGTAGTCCCTGGGGCTCCTGACAGCAACAGCAGCTCCTCTCCCGGTGAAGTAAATCTGGGAAAAAACACCTGGAGGATGATGTTAATTCCTAAACTAACATTGTCTGGCCAGTGGTTGCTGCACACAGGTGAGCAACCTTTCGGTAAATGGTAAATGGTCTAACCATTGAACCTCACCACAAGACTGTTCGCTGGTTCTCTTTTTCCTAATGTCTTACACCATGTTCAGGACCCTGCAGACCATCACAAAAAGGTCACAGACCTGCCAACTCAGAGGCACCTGCCGACTGACTGTTAGTCTGGGGCCCACCCAGGTTAGCCAACTCCAGGCTAGAATACGAGAACAGAGTCAGAATAGGCAAGAATTCTCTCTCCCCTGCTCCGAGAGTTCAAGTCCATTTGCTGCCTCTAGAAAGGCAGACATTAAGGCAATATTTGAAACATTTCATCAAATGTGCCCTGTTTCCTCCAACTGCCCGTCCCAAATCTCTATCAGTTGACTTCTTAGATTGCTTTTGTTTGGAAGTGGCTGGGCTAACTTAGCTAAAAAATATAATCTTCCACCCCATGGCTACAAATGCCCAGGGATCTTGAGAAAGAAGAGGTTGCAGGCGCCCAAACCACTCCAGCCTCAAAGGCTAACCTCTTTCCTCCAACTCTTCTCGGCCCGGACCAGGCTTCCTGGAGAAATGCACACCAGGCCAGACTCTGTACACTCGCAGCCCATTGCATGCGAGGGCGCCACGAGCCCGGGGCCTCCAGGGAGGACTGACACATCCATCCCTCGGCGGCTGCTCTCCAGCGGGAACCGACCTCCAGCGCCGCCGAGCCCCGCACCTGGAAGCGGGGAGGCGACGCGGGAGAGGATTCGAGGTTCACACCGCCTGCTCGTGGTTGAAGCCCCAGGGCTCGCGGTGCAGAGAGAGGCGTCCTGGCTGCAGCGTCCCGGCCGTGCTGGCCACGGAGTTCTTCAGCTGCTTGATGACCACGAAGAGCAGGAGGAAAAGTAGAAAGAGCAAAAAGAAGAAGAGGGCCAGGTAGAGCAGCAAGTTGAGCTCCCACTCCATGCTGGAGGCGCCCAGGTCCGGAGGCGGCGCGCACTGCGCGCTGGCTGCAGCCGCGGGGCCAGGGGCGCCGCTGGCGCCCTCCTCCCGCTCTCTTCCGCGCGGCTCGGGCTCGGCGCTCCGCCTCTGCCAGCTCCGAGGACCCGCGCCAAGAGGCGGCTGCAATCCTGGCTCCGACTTGCCCCGAAGCGCGCGAGCCCGCGGCTCTGCTGAGATCCTCCTCTGCGCGCCTCAGGGCGCCAGCCGGTTTCTCCAGGAGCGAACTTCAGCGGGCGGGACGCGGGAGAGGGCGCTGCTCAGATCCCCAGCGGGGTAGGGGCTGGCGTCCTGCAAGCAACAGTGGGAGGTCCACTGCCAACATCAACAGGGTCCCCTAGTCCCTTCGCTTGCTAATTAACTCCCTTCGTTATCACTATCCCCCCCCTTTCCAGTTTTCCGGAAACGTAGGAGACACCATGGTCCAAAGATGCAAAAGGATTAAAGGCACCTTTGGGGACGCGGGATGAAGGGCCCTGAGATGACCTCGTGCTATGAGAGAGACCACGGTGCCTGGGCGACTCTGTTCAAGCCGCCTCCCTCTTCAGACCTGCAGGTGCGCTCAGATTGAGTGCATTTTTTTTCTGTTTTTGCACAATCTGTCCTTAAGAAGAGCCTGAAGAGCAAAACGCGTGCCAAAAGTACAGAGCTTTTAAATGTGGCTTGAAATTAGTTTGTTTAATGAAAAGAGGGGAGGAGGGGTACACAGTGTGTTCCATGACGCTCCTGACACCTCTCTGTGTTTGATTGAGGTCACCTGTAGCCCATACGGTTATGCTTTGAAAGAAATTGTGTGTCTATTACTGCATAACAAGTTGCACCAAATTTAGTGACTTAAAAGTAAAGTAGTTATTTCAAGTTTCTAGGAATCAAGAATTTGGGAGCGTTGTGCTAGGTGATTGTAGCTTGGGGTTTCTCCAAAGAGTTACTGTGAGATGTTCGCTTCAAGGTGGCCACACACACCTCTGGTGAGGAGGCTGATGGTTGGTGGGGAGCTCAGGGCACGTGGACTTGTGCACTGGGCCACCTCGGCTGGCTTCCGGCGGAAGTGGTCCAACAGATCAAGGCAGAAGCCGCAGTGCTCCTTACCTCTAGCTTCTAATGTAACATGCCAACATTTCCGCCATGTCACATTGGCCACATAGATCAGACCGACTCAGTGAGGAGTCCAGAGTAGAGTACAGCAGAGGGTGAAGATTACTGGGGCCATCTCAGAATCTGGCTATCTCAACAGGTTATCGTTTCCATTTCATGGACCTCCAACTTTTGTAGTTTGTTAGTTCATTTTGTGGTCCTGGAGACTGAATCCAGGCTTGGCTTTTCTTTCCTTTTGAGACAGGGTCTCACTTGTTGCTAAACTGCTCATATGTATGATCCTCCTGCCTCAGCCTCCCAGAGTACTGGCATTAATGGCATGTACTGCCACACCTGATTTGCATGTTATTCTTTATTTGAGAAGATACACGAGAAACTCTGACATGAGTTCAGGAGGTGAGGCCTGTCTAACGCCAGGTTACATAATGGGCAGTCTATAATAAGTGTCTGTTCCACTTATGGCAGGTTATTCAGAGAGACAGGAAGGTATAGAAAAAGCTATGAACTGGAAGTCCCCAGGATCTAATTCTAATTTTGGCTCCATCTGTTCATGGTTACTTTTTCTCTGCATCACTCAGTCTGCTGATCTGTACCATACCATATTTACCTTTCCTTTGGATTTGTTGTAAAGTTCAAAAATGAATGGGCTATTAATTAAGAAAGTGTTTCACTATATAAAGGTCAGGTACTACTATGAGTCTATTACCTTGAGGTCTCTAATGTTACAGGCTACTGTTAGAAGTTTCTAGGGCTTTTCTCCAAGCAGTCCCCTCAGGTAGAGATTGAGAATGCAACACGGGGCCTGGTGTACACTGAGTGTTCTTCTAACCATCTTATTGTGCATGGAATTTCTCTTTCTCTGTCTCAATAATATTATATTGATCCACTGCATAGGCAACAGTATGTTAGAGCTGACTTATAATGACTTACATGAACTAATTGTTACATTTTTCAAGTCAATTATTAAAACAAAGTTATTAGAAATTCAGTTATATAAACTCACAAACTGTTAATAATAATGGTAATACATGATCAAAACTAATCATTTCCTAATTACTGCTTAGTAATTAATTGATTATTTAGTAATTGACTGATTTCTCCTTATCAGTGCACTTGGGGTGGTGTAGTCTGTCATAGCTTGTGTTAGAGATGCTGTCAGAGACTGCACATCTCTTTCCAGCTACATCCAATGATGTGTGTTGGTAGCTTGGAATTTTCCATTTACCCTGAGACATAGACAAGTGCTATAAATCAGGACCAGAGAGTCAGTCATTAAACATTAGTCAACATGCTGCTGCATATGAGGCCATGAGGAAAAACTTGAAGTCGTGCATAAATTTAACAAAGATGTATCATTTTTCAGACTTCCCAGAATCCACACACTTCTACCCTAAGCACCACATGTTCCTCCTGGTAGAATTCTGCATTTTATGTAATCTTGGCAAGAGGCCAGATCCCAGTGTCTATATCCCATTGCTTCCTCCCATTATGGAAACCAAGGGGATAGGATATAGCTTCTACCGCCCTGACACAGCTGGGGGAGGAGGGCAGGCAGAGTCAGCCAAACACCTTTGATTCCAGGACTTGGAAAATGGCAGACCAGGAGGGACTGTGTGGAGGGGTTTGATGCATTCCTGGTATTCTGCAAACCAGAACGGCTCCAGGAGTGACGTGGCCACTGCTCGTGTCTACCTCTGCAGCACACTCCACGCCCACCCTTTTCCCAAACCTTGTTCTCCAGCTCCTTCCCATTCCATAAGGTTCCTCTGGTTTCCCAGGACGTTGCCTTCTTATGGTGGCTAGTGAGTGTTAATGGCAGCTCACAGATGAACATGCTGACTGACGAAGAAAGTATTACTCATATACTTGGCACAGGACAAGCACTCATAATCACCAAGGTGTCTGGTGGGAAAGGCGCATGCCTTTGCGCACATTGCCGAAACTTCAAAGGATGAAATTGAAGGAGACAGGTTTAGTGACCCGCTAAAGGCAGAACCAGGAAACGACCCAGGGATGTGGCCTGCCCCCCATGCTCTCTGTTATGCTACCTTATCAGGAAAAGCACACTTTTCTTATGCATGATCATCAGATCAATGCCATATTGTTTGAGCATAAATCTAGAAAGAAGCAAATTTCAAGAGATATATAATACCTTCTGTGTAAACACATCTCAGCTCCTTCTTTGAAATCAGGAAGGTCAAAACTTCAACTGAGCCAGTGTGTTTACCGGCAGAATGCTGACCAAAGAGGCCGAGAGATCAAGCTCAAACCCGGTTTAGCTTTCCTAACTGCAGCTATTTACATTACGCATTTATCTCTGCAGCTTAAATGGATTTGTAAATATTAACTAATAAATCCTCATCTCCACTCTCAATGGAATTTATATTTAAAATAATATTGCTGCCACAAAAAATACCATTATATTTATTGATGTTCCCAGTGCTTTTTAGCCTCTAGTGATATTTATATAACTCCTAAAATGGTTTGAAGTTTGGTTTCCATTATATAAATGACTCAATAGGAATAAGACACAATCTTCCTTTTTCTAAATATGTACATAAATGAAAATATATGGAAAGATAGATAGATAGATAGATAGATAGATAGATAGATAGATAGTCCAAGCATTTTAAAAGTCTGACAGGATGCCACTATGGAAAAGAGCTTAGATAGTTTCAGCAAATAGAGAAAGGGCCCTCCCAGACAAGAGTGTGGGCACATGCCTGTAATCTCAGTTAGTCGGGAGGCTGAGACAGAGAAATGAAAAGTTTGAGCCTGGGTAACTTAATAAGATCATGTTTCAAAATAAAAAATATTGCATGAGACCCTGAGTTCAACATCAGAGAAAGTGAGAAAGACAGAGAGAGAGAGATCAGAATGCACTGATAAGAAGGGAGAGCTGTATCATGATGATCTCACACCACTGCCCACAGGCTGGATCCCACACATGCTCCCACTTCATTCAGCATGACTTGTCCATCTTATCCACCCCTCCAGGCTTCATGTATCTCTCAACTCCTCAGACTCCTTTCTACAGGTCTCAAGACAGCTGGACACTGTGCTGGGGCCACCCAGGGCCTGGCCTGTGGCTGCTGTGGCATGGACAGGGTTCCTATCACCTTGCCTGCTTTGTTGCTCCTCATCTGCACTTATGATGGGGAGAGTTTTTTTTTTTTAAATTAGGACGAGTGTCTTAGTGTCTTTTCTCTCATTGCTGAGACAAAATACCCAACCCTCAAAGTTATAAGAGGAAAAGTTTATTTAGCTCACAGTTTGCCGCAGTTTCAGGGCACAGGCAGCTGACTTCAAGACAAGCTGGCTTGGCAGAGAGGCAACAGTTCATGGCAGAAGACAGCGACACCAACAGTGAGTAGAAGGAAGATGGTTAAGCCTCTTTTGTCCCTTATGCTGTATGCAGGCCACCCGCCCTAGCTCAGGTACAGCACTTACACTCAACATAGCTAGAACAATGTCCAACCAATCAGTGGACTGCTTTTAATCACATTCCTTAATCCCAGCATCACATCCAGACTCAGCCACCTTTGAAAAGCCACACCCTATGCCAAGGCTGCATGAGCCTTTGAGGGGGACATCTAGACACAAGTCATAATAATAAGCATCACAGATATCTGTGAAAATTGATGGCGGCAAAAGAAGAGTTCATTTAACTTGTAAATGTCCATCTTTAAAGAGCCCAGACCTCTCAAATGCACTCCCAAAAGGACTGTGAAAATTTGCTGTTAATCCCAGGATAACCCCCACTGAACTTACCTATGGAGTCATCTATAAGATAGAAGCAGTTTCAGAAGAGCAAGAGTGGCAAAATAGAGAAAAAGAGACTTCCATGCACCCTTATAAAGCACCCTTAGGAAGAAGAAATGGAGGAAATGCCTTACAGCATGTTCTGGACAGGAAGTGTGTTTTTGATCTTGATGAATATGACCAAGTTCTTATGTAACTTTGCACTTTCCCAGGTGCTGTAAGCCATAAAAGCTGAGTTACATGTGGCTAGCTGCCGCTTGAGCGGGATGTCCTAAAGCACCCATCCATGCTCTGGGTAAGGTTCATACTCTATGGAAGCTTCCCGGCCCTGGGACACCGTCCTAGCTATTCAGGGTCTGACTCAGCCCCAGTGATCCTAGGGATCCTCAGGGACTCAGGTGTATTTCAGCCACATTCTCTTTGTCTCTCTGATACCCTCACTTTTATTGCTTCTGCCTCACACCCTGATACACCATCGTGTTCATTTGTAGGGGAAGCAAGTGGACCCCTTAGGATTCGCCCCCTATTTATGCTGTTTATATCATTACAACCTTCTAGATGAGAATTAAAAAGATCTATGAGAATGTTCATTGCTGTTGGGAAGCAGTAAAGTGAACTGTTTTACTAGCTAGAATCATGTAAAGCTAACTAATGTTTATTGTAATATTCCAACAATAGATTTGCTCACCAAA